CGCCTTGACAGAACTTGGCATCTCCCTGCACGACGTCCTCCTCTTCTGTGCCTGGCTCATCTTGACTGCCCTGTACTTGGCGCTGGAGATGTTTTGCTGCAAACATACCTTGCTGGAAAACATTTTTGCACTTCCTCACAGTCATGCCCCAAGCCAAGGTGTGGCTGGATACCAGACCAGCTTCATGTTTGTTGCTGTAGATCCCCCTGCTGCCTTCTGGCCTCGCTCCACCTCAAACTCTTTGCCCTGGGCTTGCACGTGGGCTGAGCCTCCCTGGGACTGTCTGTCGGGTGGGCTTGCTCAGCCTCATCCCAGCTGAGGAGGTGCCCTTAGCTTGGCTGAGCCACGGGGCTTATGTATCATACCGTACTTGGCCACTTGCAAGGGGGGTTGCCTGATTGCTAGGGTGGGCAGGAAGGGAATGGTCCTCCTCTTCTGTGCCTGGCTCATCTTGACTGCCCTGTACTTGGCGCTGGAGATGTTTTGCTGCAAACATACCTTGCTGGAAAACATTTTTGCACTTCCTCACAGTCATGCCCCAAGCCAAGGTGTGGCTGGACAGCCTGTCCAAGTCTCCCTGGATGGCAGCACAGCCCTCCGGGGTGTCAGCCACCCCTCCCAGTTTGGTATCATCAGCAAACTTGCTGAGGATACACTCTGTCCCCTCGTCCAGGTCACTGATGAATATATTAAACAGCACGGGTCCAAGTATTGACCCCTGGGGACTCCACTGGTTACAGGCTTCCAACTTGAACCTGCTCCATTAATCATTACCCTTTGAGTCCTGTCGCACAGCCAGTTCTCAATCCACCCAATCCAAAGAAGGCAATCTCTTGGCCATGATGTTAATTTTAGAGAAAAGATACCTATGTGGGGTTTTGGGAAGGCGGGATGACAGGCTTCCATTTGGTGAGACACTTGGGCAGTGGAGTTCCAAGGAATGTCAGGAAGGGTAGGAAGGGTTGGATTGAGCACCTGAGCACTGGGGTGAACAGAATAAAGGTAGGGACTGAACTGGGAGGTTGGCCAGTGTGTTCTCATGGCTTGGGAAAGAGAGGAAAAGGAGGGACTTGCCAGCCTGTGTCAAGTATATGTACCTGCAAGCCAGTGTGAGGTGTCTGCAAAGTTTTATAGGACTGGTCTGGTCCTACAGGTCTTGCAGAGAAGCCAAAGAGTAAAGGGGATAAAACGTATGTGGTGGTGGTTCTATACACACCCTTGCCCCTTCTCTTCTTGTCTTCTGAAAGGGCAGTACTCCTACATGTGAAGCACCGCGCTTGTGGCAGGTGCCACTTTGTTTCAGTGGCTTGGCACGTTTTGCTGAATGTCAGAAGGAGAGTGGTTAAATTTGGACAATGTTCTTGAAGGGCCTTGTTGTCCTTTACAGGGTAACTCTTCAGAACACTTGATGCCCCCTTGGAAGTTATCACTGTTGGTGCCTGTGCTTTTTGATGTCGTTTTGCTGGATAATCACTGGCATCGTCTGCCTCTGAGCACTCGGTGTATTATACAGCTGCAGTTTAATTTGTGCCCTCTTAAAACTCCCACTGAGTGAATCGGTGTGGTTGGTGACCAGAGCAGGTATTCAGCTGTGTCAGTCTTCACAGGATGACTTCTTTACAAAATAGGCAAAACCGTAATTACAGCTAAAGCCTCTCATTTCTTCAGTTTAATTGTGTATGGCTGGCAGCGGGGATGACAATGAAAAAGCAGCGAGGTTCTTTTTAAATTGATATTAATGGGAATAGACACACGGGGAGAGATACAAGAACTGCTTCCAGCCTAGAAGCAGCAGCTGCAGAAACAAGTGTTACTTGTTTATCAAGACCATGCTACGCCCAAGGGGAAGAAAATGCACGAGGCTGGGATTCAGCAGTTGGGTCCCAGGTCTCAGCCCTGCTAACAGTTGCCTGAGACCCCTAGGGAAATCATCCCACTTCCTACTTCCCATTCCCCATTTGCTTATACTGGGAGCTCCCTGAGCTAAGGATTGTCTCACGAAGTTGAGAGCTAACCAACCACCCTCATCTTACAGGCCGTGTCCCCAGGATGCCCACATGACTTGGGACTGTTGACCAACTGTTGGTTTACTTCTGCTTGGTTTTTTTATCTTTCCAGAATCTCTCATCTCTAATTTCAACTGTTTGGCAACTGAGTGACTCCTAAGGTGGCAGGACACATTGACCACTTAAATCCAACGGTGTGGGCTTCACAATAGAGGACGGCTTGCTGTGGGGACTGGTTGGGATGTTGTTCTCTTGAGCAAGGGTGAGAGGGTTTTGGAGAAAGTGGCTTTCATGTGGGGTCAGGGTCAGAGAAGACTGCAGAGGCAGCTAACATCCCAAACATGGGATCGCCCCCGCTTGCCACAGGCTTCAACTCGTCTCACCCCAGCAGTGAGTCACACGTTGTGGCTGAGCTGGTTAGGCCCAGGCAGGGAAGGGAGAACAGCAAGGGATCAGGGCTGGAGGCATCTCCAGACCCTGCCTGAGCTGGGGTCAGGGTCAGAGAAGACTGCAGAGGCAATTACTCTGTCTTCAGTGGGATCGCCCCCGCTTGCCACAGGCTTCAACTCGTCTCACCCCAGCAGTGAGTCACACGTTGTGGCTGAGCTGGTTAGGCCCAGGCAGGGAAGGGAGAACAGCAAGGGATCAGGGCTGGAGGCATCTCCAGACCCTGCCTGATCCCTGGGCTGGAGTCAGGATGGGAGCAGAACAAGGGCAGCTTAGAGGTCCCTCATGTTTCATTTTCCCCATGGCTGCTTTCTCAGCCTCTTCTGTTTTGTGGATTCCCTGCAAACCCCAGCTTCTGCTTCGTGCAAAGGGCTGTGCTTCCCCCGGTACCACTCCTCTTGTAGCGAGAACCCTCTGCACTCTTTCTTCCCCTGCTAGGGGATGTCCAGTTACACAGACACTGTGTCTTAGGGACAGCCTCTTGGCTTGATTCTCTGATCGTTCACATTGTTCCACCTGCCTTGACATGATGTTCCCTCACCCATGTTGGCTATGGAAAACCCCAGTGTTGCTCATGATGAAGCAGCTGGGGGTTTCTAAGGAGCCTAAATTATCTCTTAATGGACTTGTAGAAGCAGATGTTAGAGCCCCTGGGTTTCAGGCAGCTGAGGTACTGCGTAGATGTTCTCTCTGCATCTTTTCTGCTTTAATCTGTATCATGGTGAGAGCTCTGTGACCTTATTTTTCTCTCCTAAAGCAGCCTGCACACTAGCATTCATAATAGGAAAGGTGAGATTGTTTTAGTTTCTTTTGTAATTCTGGAAGCTAGGGTCCTGGCAGGTGCCTTAATCTGGCAGTGGGGAGCTTTCTTTTGTAATTCTGGCAGGTGCCTTAATCTGGCAGTGGGGAGAGGATCTCCTGGGTTTGACCTAAGTTAGAGTCACCCCATTTCCTGGTGCAAGTCTATATAAGCAAAGGGGTGAATTACGTCCAAAACTGAAACTGCTGGGGTGACCTTGAAATATGGGACCCTTTTACAGCCAAAGTCCTTTGGGGTGGGGGGAAGAAAGCCTGCATTCCTGACATGATTGAAGTGGACATTGTTAATTATGTGTGAAGGTGGATTACTGCGTGGCACGCAACGAGCCATTAATGTTAATCAATCAGAAGTACAAGGAATATGCCTTTTTCTTTATTAACAATAACCTCCTGGAGGGTCTTTGCCCCTGTGGTTGAAAGGAAATATGCTGAGGGAAGAAAGAAAGAAAGAAAGAGTAATGCAATTAAATGAGAGGTATTAAGGCATGTTTTCAATCTCCCTCTCCTGATTCTGGGACTCGATTCAAATCTCGTTCAATGTATTCAGCTCTGTGGTGTGTTCTCGAGCTTGTACTGGTTTTGCAAGCCATCAGTTGTAGTAGAATTTTAATTAATAGCCATATTGACAGCCCCCCAGATTCACAGTTTACTTCTCCAGGAAAGATCTGATTTTCAAGAAAAATGCAGGAAGATCATACAGGACGGGTTTTCCCCAGTGCAAGGTGACCTTCAGTCCAGTGAACTCCCAGTGGTTTGTGGTCTTGTGGCCCTTAAGCACTGAACTCCTTGCTTGTGTCTGCAGATGCTGTGCCAGCGGTGGAGGAGGAAGCAGCTCTTACCACTTAGAGCTTCAAATTACTGAGTAACATGAACTATGAGATCTAGGGAGAGGGACACAGTGGCAAGCAGCAGAAAGACAGGGCTGCTCTCGTGAGACCTCACCTGGAGTGCTGTGTCCGAGTCCTCAACATGGGAAGGACATAGACCTGTTGGGCCACGAAAATGGCCAGAGGGATGGAGCACCTCTCCAGTGAAGACAGGCTGAGAGAGCTGGGGTTGTTCAGCCTGGAGAAGAAAAGGCTCTGGGGAGACCTTAGAGCAGCCTTCCAAGATCTGAAGGGGCCTACAGGAGAGATGGGGAGGGACTCTTTGTCAGGGAATGTAGCGATAGGACGAGGGGTAATGGTTTTAAATTGAAAAAGGGGAAATTGAGATTAGATACCAGAAAGAAATTCTTTGCTGTGAGGGTGGTGAGACACTGGAAGAGGTTGCCCAGAGAAGCTGTGGCTGCCCCATCCCTGGAGGGGTTCAAGGCCAGGCTGGATGGGGCTTGGAGCAACCTGGTCTGGTGGGAGGTGTCCAGGGACAGAGGGGTTGGAACTCGATGATCTTTAAGGTGCCTTCCAAATCTAACCATTCTATGATTCTATGAATGCACTACCTTCCTGTCCACTGCTTTATTTTTTTTTTTCTCATCAAAACAAAGTTTTATCCTGGAATTTGAAGGAAAAAGAGAAAAGGTGGCTTTGGGAGCAGTTTAGATTAATACTTTTGGAGAAGAACTGAATTTTTCCATGGGAAGCCAGCATGACATGTTGAGAGAGACATGTCCTCACCTTTGAAAGTTAGGGATAGCTAAGGTGGTAGTCTTGCTTCTGCTCTTTGCATCAAGAAAGCATTACCCCGCCTGGAAGAATGACATTATTTGGTTTTCTGTGTGTTTTCAAGCCCAGAAACTGAGTGCTGGACTCTAAAAATTCCAGGCTTCTTGCTTCGTACAGACTCAGCGCAGCGGGACTGTTCTTAGCACAGTGGGACTTCTAGGTAGGTAATGCTACTTGATGCTGAAGTGGCCATGGAGTACTTGTAATCATTGCCTCAAGGCATGCTCACTTGCTCTCTGTTTTCCTCCTGAAGTGCAGCCATGGTAAATAAGGCCTTTTTGTTGCTGAGTGATTTCCTACTAGGTAAAAAAACTGTGCAGCTGGAGCGCTGAAGTTTAACGGCCAGTATCGAAGTGCCCAGTGGAAATACTTTGACCTGACATGAAATGCTTCAGAGTAACTGGAAAGAAAACATCAAGTGTCAGTGTGGTTAATTAATTCTGCATCCAGCTGCCTAACTTCTCTTTATTCCATCCCCGCTGATTTTAGAGGTCCCTGGCATTTGAAAAGAGGGCTGGTTGAATGCACAATGTCGGTGCGTTCTCCAAAGCGGATTGGGAAGTAACTGTTCAAAGATCTGAGGGACAATTTAGATTTTAAAAACACTGATCTCTCAAGCATATAGGCTCGTGTTATTCCGCTTGCTGATCTCAGTTATTCAGGCAGTTATGTTTTCTTTTTATTGGATAAGTGTCTGTGTTTGTATGTGCATGGTATTATTAGTCTATTCTTAGTCTTGTGAGAAACATCTTTTCCCTAATAAATATCTCTGAGTACTACACGTTGCTGCTGGGCTGGTGCAGTGATGTATCATCACAGCCTGGTTAACCCTTTATGGATTTGGTTTCCTCTCAGAGGAAATCTCACAATAAGTTGCAGATTTTATTTTATTTTTTTCAAGTTCCAGCCCCTGGACTCACGGGATTATTCGTTACTCTGCATTTGGTTCTGGCCACCACTTTGGCAGAAGAAAACTGGAAAATCTATTTGTGATTGTTATATTTAAAAAAAGGAATCAAAAAGCAGATTAAAAAAGCATTTAGATTGCATTGGTTCTGAGATACTTCAAAGGTGATCTAGGTTTAGGGAGTATGATTACTCATGTTTCAACATCTGAGGTTTGCTATCTTGTTGCTTAGTGACGGCAAAAACTGTTGTTCCTCTTGCAGGCCCTGGTTTCCGTCCTGAATGACGTGAAGAGATTAGAGCTTTGTAGGCTGGCTTTCCAACCCTGCAGGAACCAGAGCCAGGTACCATAATTATCTTTAGACAAACGCAGATAGGAGGCCTGGAGTGGAGGTACTTAGATAAACATGCAAGGGACTGCAATAATGGGGATTTTCTTCCAGGAAGAACAGCCAAACTCTGAAACTCTGTGCCCAGAGAAGAGCTCTACGTACATGTTGGGAATCGCCAAAGCCGAGAGCAGATGACAAAATCTCCCACCCTTAAATATATTCTTTTCCAAAGCAAGATGTGGTGGCCCCCTGTTTATTTTCATACTATGAAAGCAAACGGGAACATAGCCCATAGCAGCACTACCTGTTGGTGTGTGCCATCATACTTCTGCCTATCTAGTGTCCATGTCTTTATGAGCTTGATCCTACAAATCTTACCGTTGAATTAAATTGGGGATTTTATCTTTCAGTCCTGCTGAGACAGAGCTGCCCATATAACTATCTAACTGGAAAATGGTCTGGCTGACTGTGTTTCATGGGATTCTCTGGGCCTATTACAGATTGCAAGAGGGTTTGGCTGGAGGCTAAAGGATGTTTATTTGAAGGAATTTCTACAAAAATGAACACATTCTAATAGCTAAACTTGTAAAAGCGAAGCTTTCATGTTTGAGAAATATACTTTTTGAGTGGTGGAGAATGAAGAAAATGTTACCTAATTTATTAATGAATGCTTGTGAAAGACTTAATACTCATAAAAGCAGCAGCGTGCCAGAGACAATGGAGGTGATCCTGCAGCGTGTCTCTGCATGTTCCCTTGCAAAGCTATGCCAAAGCTCCTTAATCCCGATCTTAATTATTTCAGGGGAAGGCATTTGCTGAACAAAGAACTGCAACTGTGTAAAGTCCGTGCACTGAGGTTTGTGGGGAGGCCAAAATTTCCAGCCAAGGTGGAACCTGGGGTCCCCCAACGCCGTAGCATTGTGGCGGCGCTCTTAGGATTTTAAGCGAAAGGTCTGATCCATGAATCCATGAAGCTCTTCCTACAGGAGCTGGGCACTTGACTGCGGTAAATTGCAATGAAAGTAAAGCAAAGATGCTTTCCCTGCCTCGCTGTCATATTGATAAAAGCCTAATTATTATCCAGCTGGCAATCTGAGAAGGGATATAAGTCGCATAATGTAATTCTTCCTCCTCATGTTCACACAAGTTAATTCTTTGTGTTCAAATGAAGCCTTGCAAGATAGCCTGCCAGTGCGTTCTGTCCCTTTTTTTATGGAATGATGTATTATGCAAACTGCTGGGAAAAGGTGTAAGTTTTTGTTTGTGACCAGCTTCGCAGATAAGTGTGGGCACTCCTAGGTGCCGAGGCCAATTCTTTGCTATTCCCTGCACCCTTCTGAGGTTCCTCTTTAAGGTTTGTGCTGGTGGCATTTTAGGGCTCTGTGTCATCAGCTGCGTTGCGTGCTGTGACCTGGCTTCCTCTCTCCCTGCCTGGGTGACTGGAACTTTCAAACTGGAGTGAAGCGACTGCCAGCCACTGGGTATGAAGCAGTCTTGCACACTCAAAAATAACCATATTCTTGTTGGTGCAAAAGTGCTGCTCAGAAAGTGAGTCTTTGCTCGTGCGCTTGAACCTGCTGAAACCTTGCCACAACCGTGGGATGCAGCACAGGCTAAGGATTAACTGTGCCATCTTCCTATATATTAGTTTATTAATGATAATAGATCTTATTTAAGTGTAATAATCTCTTATTTAAAGTGTAACGGTCTGTGCTCTTCTGAAAGGCCCTTTGATATTTTGTAGTGGGCCTGTCTTTTTGCTGAATGTACACGTGTAGAGCCGTGTGTGAACAGCTGGCTGGGTGAATCTGGGGCTTGTCCACAATTTCACTTCCCTCTTGAGGGAAAAATCTCAGTGCCCAAATATCCCAGTTTGGCTGCTAAGGGTGACTGCCTGGTTTTGTTAGCAAGCTACCATGACTTTCTGAAGATTTCTCTCTCGCCATTGTTAAACATAATAAATGTCCCTGCCCCTTCCCAGTGCTTCAAACCCAACAAGCACAATGCAGAAAAGAGCTTAAGTCCTGTCTAATGAGAAGCAGCCAGGAATCAATGCTGGCAAGTCAACCCCTTGAGAACAGGCTGTTCTCTGCACTCAGATGTTTCATAGACCAGGGTTTTGCTTCCCCATACCAAAAAAAGCCTTAACCAGGCAAAATTTGCTGCTCTGAAATGCTGAGCAGACAGAAAACTGTAACCACTTCAAAACCTAGCACAGAGGGTATACATATATGGGGATTACAAATACATCCAGGCTGGGCACTGTTGGTTTGTCTCCCGACAACAAATCAATGCAATTACTTGACAGCACAACAGTTGTCTCTTCAAAAAAAAAAAAGACAAAGGAAAAAAAAAAAAGCCAACAAAAAATGTAGTGACTGTTGTGTGTGCCTGCGCAGTGCCATGCCACCCAAAGCAGCCTGGCATCTGGCTGCCAGCTGGCTTGGCACTGCTGGGAACACAGCAAGAGGAGCTCACTTCGACCAACAAAAACTTGAGGTTCTGCGTGGCCCTTTTATTGTGGGTTCTTGCAAGAATTAGGGATTTGTGGCCTTGGTCCCCACAAACGACCTTCATCATAAATAGATATATGTATAGTTAAGAGGTGGTATCATGCTTAGTGAACACCCAAATGTGTGCTATATCCTAAAGCCCTTGGACTTAGCAGTAGTGAAATTACGGCTACGGGCTGCTGTCAAGAGAGAACAGGAGTGATTTGATGTAGAGAGAGGACAAAGATGTTGTGGCTAGTGACCCACCTTCTGCTGAGCTTGGGGGAACTCTGCACAGGCACCACGCTACTGTAGAGGAAACCTTCCCCTCTGGGCTTCCCTGTGAAGCCCCAGAGCATGAGCTCTAGTCTTTGCAGGCTTCTCCGCAAAGAGAATTGTTTCTCTGTGATTTGCAGACTGTGGCTCAAACTTGAAGAAATCTCCTTTATGGCTTTGCCTTTTCTTCTCCACTAAGCAAACTTCGGTTGAAACATCTGACCATTTCACTCCACTTGAGCGCTTGCTGTTGGAAGAGACAGGAATGTCCCAGGAGTTTTGGCAGAGCACACAAATGTACGCTTAATTTTAGGCTTATTTTCAGTCGTGTGAAGTCACTGGTATTCTTCAGAAGCTAAGCTTAAACACGCGCGTTGTGCTTCTGATTGGCTTGGAGACTGAGGACAGAACTCATTTTCTTGTCAGCTCTGAACCAAACAATTCCTGGGGCAGAAAAACCCATCTAGTAAGAACTCATGAATACAAATCTTAAGCAGTAAAGCTATTTCTCCTGCAGGCTGAGGCAAACAAATATATAGGAAGAGTAATACAGAAGAAAAGGGAATGGCCGAATTAATAAATACAAGCTGATGCAGCAGTCAAAGGCACCAGGTTGTGTAAAATCACTGGTCATAATTTTGAATATAAGCTCTTGCTGTGCCAGCGCTTATGTTTCTCAGAGTGAAAAAGGATGCTGGTGCAAGGTTGGTTTTTTTTGCTAACATCCCAAACACACCAGTACTTTGCTTAAATCAGCCGTCGCTATCAACACCATGGCTTCATTGCTTCACTTCCACTATCTCACCATAACTGATTGCTTGCAGTTATTTGAAATGCAGCTTTTCTGCCGGCAATTACTTTATTTACTGCTTGCCTGTCAAACAATAATGCCTTCCCTTTGCGGGCCCAAAGGCAGATTAACATCAGTAATTACTAAAGCAGATGTTTGTATGCGAATACCCGTTTCTTAGAGGCAGATTGTCTCCTGCGTTGGCGTGAGGGTGAGGGATTCAAATGGGGAGATGGTGTCACCCCGTAAGTGCTGTGAGCAGCGTGGAGAGCTGGGGGGCTCCCCCCACCTCACCTTGACAATCGTTGACCTTATTGAAATCAGTCCTGAGAGCTGTTTGGCATTTAATTCTTCGAAGTGACCGCTGGTGACTGGACGGGGCTGAGTGCTACTTGCACTTGGTCCCCGTTGGGTTTTTTTTATTTTTATTTTCTCTTCCCAAGAAATGGAGGGCTGGGCTTTCGAGGGAGCCCAGCACCTAGATTGAGGGCCTGTTTCCCAATAACTCTGTTATGCTCAGCACTAAGGGCTAAGCTTAAAGCAGACAGTCATTAGCTCCTTCCAGGCTACTGTGAAGGGCGAGGGAAGCGTGATTGTGTCTCACAGGGACTAGAGGGAGGGTCTTTTAATAACCCGGCTGTACTGCCAGGACTGAAATATGTGCAGAGCAGCCCTTTGGTGCTTTTGACGCCTGTCCTCCTGGCACGTGGTGTTTTTCAGCTGAAATCTATGCAGAAAAGCCACCCATGGCTGCTTGTGGGGAGAGCTTGCCAGCCTGTGAAGGCGTGTGTTAAGTGTAGACCATGGTCCTGGTTCCCTGGGGACTTCCATATCAGCTCTCCAGATTTCGGAGACCCTCCTTTGGAATCTTAAGAGTGAAGAGATTTTCCTTGTGTGGACAAACCATGGTATTGCCTCCATGGAAAAAAAAAAAAAAAAAAAAAAAAGCTTCTGCATGCCAGAGCAGGGAGTGAACAAAAGTGGCCGTGGGTCTTGAAGGAAGGCAGAGGCTCCCTCCCTACTTCTCCTACCATTGCTGAAGAGAAGCTGGTATGGGATGGATTCATTTCCATAAGCAGAGGGCAGTCTTCAGCAGCAGTTGAAACGGCCTTCTACTTCTCCTACCATTGCTGAATAGAAGCTGATATGGGATGGGTTCATTTCCATAAGCAGAGGGCAGTCTTCAGCAGCAGTTGAAACGGCCTTCTTGCCTTTGGCATTGAATCACTCTCAGCCCTGTCTCCTAAACCGCTGTCTTGCTCAAGACTGTGTAAAGCCACGCTTTTAGGAAGTGCCTCTCTCCCGTCACCTCGTGTCAGTTAACGCAGCGCGGTGGGAGGAGAAGGGGGACCCCTGGCAGCACCCCCACCCCTTCGCTGCTCCACATCCACTTAGCGGGATGCAGAGCACTGACCCCAGTGCAGATTTGGCCTGCCGCCCCTCGGTTGAGAGACATTGAAACCAGATGTTTAGTGTTCAATCATGTTTTTCCCATTATTCCCGCCTCTGTCACAGTAATTACTCTCTCTTGAGGGTCGTTCAGAGTTCAGCTGGTGGAGAAAACTGTTATTCTCGATTAAAGGACTAGCCGCTTTTTCAAACATCCTTGTCTAATTGTACTTTGAAAGACATGTGACAGTATTCCAGAGCTCTGCAGTTAGCTACTGAGTAGAGACACCTGTATTTATATATAATATATATAATATTATATATTATGTGTATATATATTAGATATACCCACCTTCAGAAACAAAATGACCAAATGCACTTTTATTTCATGAAACAGGCTCCCCTTTATTCATCAATTGTAGACTGTCATTTTTTGGCCAAGGCTTCAGTCCAAGGTTCAAGTCCTGATTTTGCGAGGTTTGGACTGGCACAGTCAACCAACGCAGCTTCCTCTTGTTTTCGTTGGGGGGCTGCAGGGTCCATCTGGCACTGCCCAAGCTGGAGAACTGGGAACTCCAAAGGGCAGGTTTTCCTGCCCTTTTTTTTGCAGCCATTCTGCACAGCGAAGCGAGGCGTGAACTGTGTCAGAGGGACTCTGTCAGCCACCCTTTTGCAGAATAATTGTTGGGAAAGACAGAGAGAAATCCCGGCACCAAAAAAACTCCAGAGTCTGACACTGTTGAGCACAGACCAACTCTGCTTTCTGCAGCTACGTGTGTTCAGCTGAGTTGATGACCAAGGAAGAGGACAACATGACAATTGACCAACGTGCACCTCTTTTCAGACACTGGGTATCACTGGGTCTCCAGATATGTCTCTCTTTTCTCAGGGAGGGAGCAGGAATGCAGGGAGGACCAGGGGAGAGAACGGGGAATTTTGATATTGATGCTCGAGGACCATCGGTGCTCAGGACCTCCAGCACCTGGCTAAGTCACTTGGCACAAAGGGGCCAAGCTGACTTCTGAGAGGCAAATCCAGCAGCTTTGCTTGGGTCCTCTTGTACCTGGGGAGGAAACTCTAAGCGGGGATCATCAGTGACCTCAAGTATCACAGTGATGTAATGTCCTGCCTGTCTGCGGCGTGCAGGAAGGGGTTGGGAAAACATTCCTTTGCCTTAGCTGCAGCTTGGGGAAGCTGTAAGCAATGGTTTGATCAGGATGAAACTTTGGGTTGAAACTCTCATAGAGACAATTCCCCACCTGTGAGGAGCCAGGACATAGGGCATTTCCCAGGGGGGAGAAGAAACCCAGGCCGAACCAGAAGGACGACCCTCTGCTTCATAAGACTTGAGACAGAAACTTTCCCAAATCTGTGCCCAGGCTGTTGCCTCTCTAGGGGCAAGATGGTCCCTGTGTCAGAGAGGGCGATCTGCCTAAGGAGGAAGATGAACATTCTCCTCCCAAAAGGTGTCATCACCCCTCACGTTGCTGAAGCAAGTCTCCTCTGCTTCCTCAGTCTTTTCTGCTGGAGTTGCTTTGTGGCATCCATTATTCATTGGGCCAGTGCCCGTCTGGCATGTGAGAAGAAACCGAAACCCTGGGTGAGTGCTGGAGACAGAACAGGTTAAATGGGTACGCTGTGGTGGTGGAGGAGAGGCGAGAGGGAACGCGGCTGATGTCATCCTGTACCTCGCACCATGTCCACTTGCAGAAATAACCATGAGATCACCAAGAAATGACTTGCTGGTGTGAGTTTTAAGCCACACTGGACACCCGAACTCCCAACGAGATGACCCAAGCAGGGCTAAAACTTTGCTTGCGTGTTTGCCTGCAAGGTCAAAGCTCTCTGAATCCCAAAGGCACTGGTTTTCCCTCTCAACCATGCTTCCCTTGGGCGGTAGTGTGGGGCAGGGATCCCTGCATGTGCCCTGTGGGGCTGGTGGCCACCTCCAGCAGTTGGGAGCCAGGGCGCAGCATGGTGGAGGTTTGAGCTGGCAGGGTCAGCACAAGGCGGTGGGAAGAGACCTGGCAGGTATGTTGGAGACAGTGACTGATTCAGGCCACAGCCGGCTGCTCCTGCTGGCAGCAGAAAACCGGCCGATAAAACTTTCTAAGACTCAATTTAAAGCTTAGAAAGCAGTTATTCTTTATTGTGGCACTGGGTGCACGGGGGATAGCTCCTCCTGTTGTGCTCCCCGAATACCGTTGTCAAATTAAATTTATACACAACAGAAAACATCAGCATATTCATTACGTTTCTGAGAATTCATTTACATATTATAATAAGCTTTTGGGCATGCGTAGTTGTGCCTTCTGGTGGTCCTCATTTTGAGTGAGGGTCGTTTCTTCCTCCAGCTTCTTCACCTGTCCTTTGGCTCACTTTTCATGTTGGCAAAACATTCCAACTGCTTAATTGCTCATTAAAACTGATGATCTCCCTGCTACCACCTGTTTGTCAGACAATGTCCATATTTATCACATCCCTGTCTCAGGTCACTGCGTCCTCAGGGCCACAGACATCCTTTCTTATCTTACCAAGTCCTTGAAACCATTTGGTTGCTAAAATAGCTACATTTCTTCTCTAAAAGATTCTCTGCAGTTGAACCATTTATAAACTACGTAAAACCTGCCTTTAGGTATCAGAGCCCCATTACTTTGCATTATGAGGCCTCCCGCCCATATTCAGGCACAAAACGTCGCCTCCTCCGAACCTAAGTTAGGTCAGAGTTAGGTTGATGGTTGGACTAGATCATCTTGAAGGTCCCTTCCAACCTAGATGATTTCTATGAGTCTAACTGCTCTGCCTCGCCCGAAGGCTCACCGGAGCTCCGTGTGAAGTTCTTCCCGTCTTTCCAAACTTAGAATTCCTGGTGGGACAGGGGGCAGATGGGTCTGTGGTTAGGAGGAGGCGTCGGGAAGCTCAGCGGCGTGTCCGGGAAGCCACCAGCCAAACCTAGATGATTTCTATGAGTCTAACTGCTCTGCCTGGCCCGAAGGCTCACCGGAGCTCCGTGTGAAGTTCTTCCCGTCTTTCCAAACTTAGAATTCCTGGTGGGACAGGGGGCAGATGGGTCTGTGGTTAGGAGGAGGCGTCGGGAAGCTCAGCGGCGTGTCCGGGAAGCCACCAGCCACCACAAGGTGCCCGCTGACCTTCAGGCACAGCAATTAGTGTGGATGAGGCAATGCCAGCGCCGCGGAGGCAGATCTTGGCAACGCCACCACTGTGTTTTGCGCTGGGAGCCACATTTGTAGCTTAAAATGCTCTGTGGCTTTTTGTTTTCCCTCCGCGGCAGAGGGAAGTGAAGGGCTAGAATAGCCCAGGAGGAGGCTGAGCCTGGAAAAAACCTCCCACTTTCCCGGATCCGCGCAGGAAAAACATTCTCCTCCACCTGTCCCCCCCTGCGGAGGGGTGGCCGTGGGTGCTGCCACCTCCTCGCCCACCTCCTGTCCTCTCCCCAAGGTTCGAGAGGGGGGACACGGGTTGTTTTTCCACAAAGATGGCTCCGGGGGCACAGGCCTTTCCCCAGGGTTACCCAAACCCTCTCCCCCCGCCCCAAGTGTCGGCCTTTGAAAGAAAAGCAGCACCAAGAAGGGCTTCAGAGGGGAGCTGCTGGTCGGGCGCCTTGAACCTGGGGGTCCCGGGGCACCCCGAGTCCCCTCACCGGGGAGCCATGGGGCAGCCGAGCCTGGCGCTCAAGGCTGTTCCTCAGCGGGCCTGAGGCAGCAGAGCCTGCTGTGGGGCCGAAGGGCTGGCACTGCCCACGCCTAGGGCTACACGGGAGGGAGGGAAGGAGCGGGCGGTGCGTTTTGGGGCTGAAGTGGTGTGTTTTGGGACCGGGGCGGTGCGTTTTGGGGCCAGGCCGCCCCGCCCCGCCCCGCCGGGCTATAAAATGGCGGCGGCCGGCGGTGTGGGGGGAGGCGAGTGATCGCGCAGCCATGGCGGGAGCGAGCGGTTGCCTGAGGTTGATGGCCGCGGCCCTGCTGCTGCTGGTCGGGGTCGCGCTGACCGGCGCCGACCGCCCGCGGCTCCTGGGGGCCCCGGTGGAGGTCGACAACGCCGACAACGACGAGGGCCTGCAGCGGGCCCTGCAGTTCGCCATGGTGGAGTACAACAGGGCCAGCAACGACATGTACTCCAGCCGGGTGGTGCGGGTCATCAGCGCCAAGAGGCAGGTAGGTGGGAAGGGGCGCGACGGGGGTGGAAGCGGTGGTGGCCGCCGGGTGGGCTCCGGGCCCGGGGTGACGGAACTGGGGGAGTCGGCCCAGGCACCCTCCGGGGAGCAGCTGAAAATGGGGCCTGTGGAATTTCCTTGGAGAAGGAGCAGGCCTCGAGCTTAAGGGGTTCTTAAAGCTAGGTTGGTTTTTTGGGTTTTTTTTCCTTCACAGAAAGTGAATAAAAGCCTCTTTTTTGTAGCTTGGGTCTTGCCAGGCCGCCTGCCCTTGGGTGCTGCGTGTTACTGGAGAAGGCAGTGACTTGCAGGGCGTTGCTGACAGGTTAATACATGTCTCTGTTTACTGACCAGGGAGAGCTGCGCTGGGAGGCTTGTTTACTTGGATTTTGTTAACTGTTTTTTTTTTTTTTGAAAGGGTGCCAAGTGCCTCTCCTATCGAGGCTGCTGCACATGATCCGTTCCATACTTCTGGCGTCTGTCGTGGCACCAGAAAACTCTCTGCCTTTCTGCTAGGCTTCCCTTCCTCCGCGAGCCCTTCTGTTACGTGCTGCGGCATAAAAGCCTCTTCTGCCCTCTTGTCTTGTTGCAGCTTGTGTCTGGAATCAAGTACATCATGAAAGTTGAGATTGCCCGCACGACTTGCCCCAAGCCAGCGACTGATCTCCAGAGCTGCTCTTTCCATGATGAGCCGCAGATGGCCAAGGTAGGATCTGGAGCATGGCGTGTTGGCCCCTGGGTTTCCTACCCCTTCCCTCGGCCTGCCGTGGGCAGTGCCTCCTGTCTGCCCCAGCCAAGATCAGAGACCTCCTAGAATCATATGGGGTTGGAAGGGACCTCTGGAGATCAAGTCTAACCCCCCCACCGAAGTGGGTCTCCCTAGAGCAGGTTGCACAGGAACGTGTCCAGGTGGGTTTTGAATGTCTCCAGAGAAGGAGACTCCACCACCTCCCTGGGCAGCCTCTTCCAGTGTTCCACCACTCTCACAGTAAAGAAGCTCCTCCTCATGTTTAGGTGGAACTTCTTATACTCAAGTTTGTGCCCATTTCCTGTCACCTTGTGCCTTTACTCTTAACAAGGTGCTGCCCTTGCAGAACTTGTCTTGCCAGGTGATGGTGACGGACAAGGCAGGGCTTTTTTAGCCTGTTCTGTAAGTGGGGATCTGAGGCTGTAGAGCATGGAGGACTGTGTGTGCCTCAATCCTCTTAAAAAGGTGCTCATGGTGTGGATCACAAGGATGTATGGGGGAAACTCTGCCAAGCCTACAGGTCTCTTGGCACGCAGTCCGGTGTCCTGGGTCCCCATACCATTCTCAGCTCCTCCTGTCCCATGGTGATGTGGACAAGCTTGACTTGATACGCTTTCCTGGGGGCCTTGCATTACTGTGAATAGTGCTTTGGGCTAAACACTGATCAGAGGAGGCAGATTGCCCCTGTTTTCTGTATCTGCCAAGCTGTCACGTGGGAGTTGTCTAATAGCAATGCTTTTCAGGACTACTTTAGCTTGTCAGGTGAGAGCACTTAAATAGGTCTGCCTTGCTCTGGCCTGAGCCTAGTTCTTCCATAGTACTTAGTTACTTGTATTAATTACAGTGATGGGCTTAACTTCTTTGTGTACGTGCCCTTTCTGTCTGCATGTATGGGAAGTTTGATGCAGAAGCTGGTGTGTGCACTGGCTGCAGGGGTTTGGCACGTGCACACACACGGATTAGGTGTGTGGGTGTGCTCGCCTGTGCCTGAGAGCTGAAATTGGAGTATTACCCACCCTGTATGGCCACTGGGTAAAGGAGGTGACCAGATCCTCAGGAGTGCTGACTGCTCAGCTTCTCCGCTGCTGTTTGAGAGAAGCGATTCATCCCCAGCAGGTATTAACAAGGGTAGTGTCCCAGAATCGGTGGCAGGAGAGGGCAAGTCTAGAGAGCCACAGAAGTGGCACACTTTCTGGATCGTATGGGGTAGTAGTAAATCAGTGTACAACAATGGTCAATGCATCGTATGGGGTAGTAAATCAGTGTACAACAATGGTCAATGACGCTGTTTCATGCTCTTAATCTGATAATTGCTTTTTTTTCCCTTTCTCTCCTTAGCACACCATTTGCAACTTCGTAGTGTACACTGTTCCTTGGCTGAACCAAATCAAACTACTCGAAAGTAGCTGCGAGTAAGATTCCCTTGGTTCCAGCAGAGACCAGCAACCAGTTGCTCAGATTTAAAAGGAAGAAAAAAAAAAACACAACCAAAAGCAATAACACACTTTGAAATGGGCTTCATCAATGCCTGTTAACTACTTACATATGCTTGTGCTATGCAAGTTAAAGTATGTAACTTTCCTTTAAAGCACAGTGTGAGCTCAACTTTTATTTTTCTTTGTAATAGCATTTTAGAGCAGCTGTTTTGGTCTTCCTACAGCTTTCCCAATAAAGTAACTCCAACATCAGCATTCTGATTTAAAAAAAAAACAAAAAACACTAACAACCCCAACTTGGTATTTCTCTTAAGTGACTACTGTAAACATAAAAAAATGAATTAATAATTGCTATGATGTGTGGGTTTTCCTTTGAGGGAGGAGGGAGGGTTTGCTTTTATTTGTGACTTAGTCTGTCATGCCCAAAGAATGGGGGGAGAAGGAGGGTGGGGCCCTGATCTGGGGGAGACAAACCCTGTCTCCCTGTCCCTTAGTCTGGCCTCTGGTTTTGGGTGAGGGATGGAAGTCCTTGGTTGTTCAAAGAAGTGCTCTGCTTTTGAAGGATGCTTGTACTAAGGCTGTGATTTCAGGCCCTGGCTGCTGTGTTTTGGGGCTGTGTGTGTTTGTGCAGCTGTGCTGTGTTAAGAATTGACCACTCTGCTGTCTTCCTGCACTGCCTTGGAGTGTTTTTTTTTAGGAGCCCTTGCTTCCTCTGGCACCTGGTCCTTGACGGTGACCCTGTTGTCCCCCTGGTTTTTCTGGGTGGAAAGCCCCCAGGGCTTTCCTTTCCAGCCCAAACCCATGGCTCACTGCATTTAGGACCTGAACCAGTGGAGCTGGAGGAACAGCTTCTTCAGCCCACGTGCCTGACCCATCACAGCTTCCCTTTGCAAGCAGAGGTGGGTGCAGAAAGGCCTGGAGTGGACCAGTCACCAGCCCATCTGGGCTGGAGGACTGTGCTATTCTCTGGCTTGGTTTTAATTGGGTGGAGTTTGAATGAAGTCTGAATGTGGGCAAATAACTTTTTAAATTGGTCAGGCAGAGAAGATCAGCACCCAAGAACTGGCTGAGATGTTTTCCTGTTAAATCCTGTTGAATTAGTGCTGCGGGGAAGGACGTGAGCCCCATTAGCTCCCTTAGCCTGAGGACAGCCTAGTGCAAGAACAAGCAGGAAAGTTAGTAATTGGTTTTAATGCTGTTTCTTGTCAGTTAGGCATTTATCAGCCAGTGCAGTTTTGTAGCAAATGGGTCTTGTCCACAAACCCTGGCTTTGCTCTGCGAGTGTGGGTGTTCCCCAGCAGCAACCCTCTAAATCCCAGTGGCTGTACAAACCTGGTGGGGGCCTTTGCTGCTGGGTTCCCTGAGTGTGGTGCTGTGTTTGGGGGTGTCATGGGGCAAGGCAGCTCCAGAGCTATGGGGGAAAGAAAAAAAAGAAAAGTATCTTTTTTGATGTCTTGACATCATGCCAAGACGTGATGTCCCAGAAGCCAAGCAATAAGAGACAAGGGAGGTTCTGTGGGCAAAAAGGTGGGTGAGATGGGAGCTTGGGGTCGTGCACAGGAGGGGTCTTTGGGGTTTTTACTCCTGGGGTAAGACTGGAAGGAAGGAGCGGGATCCCCTTGAAAGAAATTCCATCTTCAGGTAATGGGGGAAAGGGCCAGGTCAGGAGAAGGAACTCCCAAGAGCGGGTGGAGGTGCTGAGGTGAACAATGAGGAGGGGGCTTCCAGTTTTGCCCAGTCCCAATAGCTCATTTCTCACCTTATCTTGGATTTTGTGTGGTTTTGAAGTCAACGTCCTTATCGTGTGTGTAAATCTCACCCAGGCATAAAGCGAGCCTGGTGTTAATCCTCCAGCCTAGGAGTCCTGTGTCCAGTTTTGAAAGGAAGGTGGGAAGGGTGTGGAGAAGAGCTGCAGAAGGGATCTGGTGGCTGGAAAAAGTGGGTGCTGGAGGTGAGAAGCGTAAGGATGCAGTCACCCTTTGCCTAGAAATGGTATTTTTGACGAGAGCTAAACCAACCGCATCTTTGGCCGTGGAGGTGAGGGTGGGCTTGTATCTAATTTCACTGAATTTCACTGAATTTCTAGAGTTGGAAGGGACCATAGAGATCATCTAGTCCAACTCCCCTGCTGAAGCAGGATTGCCTAGAGCTAGAGCATGTTACTCAGGAGCATCCAGGTGGGTCTTGAAAATCTCCAAGGAAGGGGACTCCACACCCTCCCTGGGCAGCCTGTTCCAGGGCTCTGTCACCCTCACCGTGAAGAAGTTTCTCCTCATATTTGAGTGGAACCTCTTATGTTCCAACTTGTGCCCGTTGCCCCTCGTCCTCTCACTGGGAACCACTGAAAAGAGTCTGGCTCCCTCCTCCTTCAACCCTCCCTTGAGATACTTGTAGGCGTTGATAAGGTCTCCCCTCAGCCTTCTCTTCTCCAGACTAAAGAGCCCCAGCTCTCTCAGTCTCTCCTCATAAGGGAGATGCTCCAATCCTTGAATCATCTGCTTTCATAATGAAAGAGAGCAAAATAAGGAAGTTACCAGAAAACTAGCTTCTGTCCCATCTGCCATGCGCTGGGTCAGTGACCCTGGTGTCAAGCTGCTCGGGTGCCCTCACTTGTCACTTTTCTAACTGCTCTCTTCATCAGTACATACTGATTCCCTGTTTTCCAGCCTCTCTGTGCGAGCGCTAGGCGGTGGTGAAGGAGCTTTTGGTGGGTTTGCCCGTGTTTCCCTTTTTATCCTCTTGGCTTGAGGCCCAGATGGGTAATCTTATTGGTCTCCTTAGTATGGAGACTGGGTGAGAAATGAGGATGCAGACGGATATAACCAAGTGTTTCCACCATTTTAGCTGTATTTATTAGCCAGCAGCTCCGAGCAGCGTGCCGTGCCAGACAAAATGAGAATTTGGGTGTCACAAGCTCCTGAATTCAAAGGTATTGCGTTTTCGTGTTGAAATGCCCATGACTAAGGGCATGAATTAGCCCATCCTCACAAGCTGCTGAGCGTCACTCTCTGGTGATTGTCCCTACGTGCTCTGCACTTGGGGCGAACACCAAAAAAAAAACAACCCCAAGAGTGGCCTAATTTTAGGCATTTTCCACACTCTGGGCTTTCTGCTGCATCACCGGGTGTTTGTGACAGGCTAAGAGCATTAGTGGAGGTTCCTTGGCCAAGAGCCTCTGGCTTGGCAGGTCCTTCTGCTGGGCTGGCTGGGTCAGCTCGGCGCTGAGCCCTCGTTTTTAGGTGTGTTGGCTGCTTGGCTTCTTCAAAGGTGGGTGGGAGATGTGGAGGGGTGAGCAGGGAAGGGCTTGTTTCATGCTGTGGATCAATTCTGGGCTTGTTCTTAGTTTTGCTGCTGCTGCAGCTCATGAACCCAAAGCTTTTCCCTGGCTCTGGGACGCAGGGGAGAGATTTAGGGCCAACCAGCTAAGAAGCCTAAGCTCTCCTTAGCAGTGCCTGCCCCTCCAGAGCCCTGCTCATGCTGAGCTGGAGCTCCCAGCTCTGCCAAGCACAGCTGAAGACAGACAGCTGTGAAAGCCGTGATGGTTTTGGAGCCTCTGGGCATTACTGGTGTGCCACAACTATGGCGTGCTCAGTTGAAGGCAACAGGACAATATCAGAAGTATTGACCCCACCTGAGCAGGCTGGCAGGTGGGGTCTTACCTGGCTTTTTAGAAGGGCATCTTATATGTTTGAGAGTCTGTGATACAAAGCAGCTTTACCATGAGAACCCAAGAGCCCAGATGGTGTTGAGAAACGAGGTACGGGTTGCCTTTGGCTTTTTTCACCTTCTCTGTGACCCTCACCCACACACCTCCTCTCCCCATGGCATAGGACCTCATTTAAGGTTAAGCCCGTGTCCCCTGTCCCTGTCTGAGCTGCATTAGATATGTCTTTATCTCCAGCCCTGCCTACGGCATGGACCTTGGACCTGCCTTGTAGCTTTGCCTCCAGCATCATCACCTGCTCCAGACCATGCTTCCTGGAGGGACTCTGGTCCTGTTTCATCCCCTTGCTGTGTCTGGGGCTGTTGATGGACCCTGTCCCACCTGGCTCTACTGGCTACGCTGAGCCCCCTTTGGAGAAGGCATGGCCAGTGCTGGGGCCACCTTGGTTCCTGGCTCAACCCCTCCTGGTGCTGCTCCCTGGGACATATCCCTGCAGGGTCTTTCTGAGATCCTTGAAGCTATCACCACTCCTGTCAGGTATGGAACACTTCCCTCTGTGCACAACCTAAATTGCAATTTCCTGCAATTATGAAAGCAAATAGTCATGTGAGGATCTCCAGGTCACCCCCCGGCCCTAGGGCAGGGCCACCCAGTGCTGTGGCCAATGTGCATGTGCTCAGGTTGTACAGTGTTGCTTAGCCTAAGGCGTGGAGATATCTCCATGAGTCTTCAAAGGTGACAGGTTGTTCGTATTCATGTGATGCCTTAGAATCACTGTAGTGAGCTCAAATTTACTGGTCAAACCGCATCCATACTTTGAATCTTGGTGCTTTATCTCCTGATGATGACACCAGAGAGGTAAGTAAGCCTTCAGACCCCTTTCCTTGCAGGATGCAATGGTGATCTGGAGGTTGTTTCCACAGGGTCAAGCAGGAAAGTGTTCTGAGTTGGTCACTGCTGACAGTGCTAGACCCCTCCACGAGTCTTGTCACCCAGTTGTGGTGGTGGCTTGCTGGTGAGAAGGTGGGAAGGCTGGTTCCTGGTCCTCTCCAGGCAGCACGGTCCCAGGCGTGGTGAGGAGGACTCTTGGTGTCCACTTGGCTTGAATGAGAAGAGCAGAGGCGTGGTGAGGAGGTGTCCACTTGGCTTGAATGAGAAGAGCAGCCAACCTGCAAAGCTCTGCAGTGCAAATCCCTCATGAGCCTCTCCCTGCTGCCCCTCTCTGATGTGGGGCATGGCTCAGTGTGGTGGTGCACCCTGGGGTAGGACCTGGGGCTCGAGGTGACACTCGCTAAAGCTTCTCTTCTACGTCGTTGGGGTGGCATTGCTCAACCTCTGTGAGCTGGTTAGGGTCCTACTGTAGGATTTTGCAATGGGGAAGGAAAGGAGAAGCTGAGATGCTTGTCTCCATGGTAAAACAGCGCATGGGTGTTGGGGCATCCTGGGTGCTATTTCTGACCTTTCTGGAGGCGGGTTTTGGGTATTTACGTGATGGGGAAACCTTCCTCTGATTCCAGCTGGGGAAAACCCACCGGTGACTCAGGATGCCCTCCTTATCCCTGTGCCTTGCTGGTGGGCACTGTCCCCT